CAGGCCAAGGCAGTCCCCATGTTAGCCGGAAATGGTACAATATGAGCCATGAAGTGAACAAACCAGGCTGGTTTATGATTAAAACAATAGATTTTGAACTTTTAATGAAACAAAATTGCATTGTTACATTGAAAAGCTTTCAGAACTAGGAAGAAAAGGACTTTCTTCAACCATTGCGGCCAGAATATGTCTTTCATTGAGCATTTTGCAGTTAATTTGGAACAAAAAATTTTTTTTTGCAAATCAGAAAAACATGGACACGGCGATCCGAGAAGCAACAAATTAAATTGGTGTGGCCTTACAACTTATCTGCCTTAATTCCCAGGCATAACAGATCTAATTGTGAAATACAACTACTGCATGGTCTCAACATTGTGGGGACTCTTTGATAGTCAGTCAGTACCATGGACATGTCCAAAAATAATCTTAATCTGATCAATTTATATACAACAAAACCTCATAGTATGACATAGCTAAAACCCTTTACACAGCCCACTTGTGGACAACAATCTCACAATCCCTTTTGTTATATACCAGTGAGTCTTGAAAGTCTGTGTAGCACTGGTGACCTATTTTCCAAGGATTAGGTAAGACTAAGAGTCTATTTGAGCCACTTCTAAGACTGCTAAGGCCAGACCAATTTACATGCCTGGTTCTTAGATTTGTTTTCTTCATCAAAAAATTAATTTGTTTATTATGTATATTTTTTGTGTTGTATGATTTCTTTTTAAATAAAAAAAATTATGTTACCATGTAATGTTACCTGTAATTCATGATCATAATCAGGTTCTGAATCAGTCTCCAAATGCTAATATTTTGGCGACAACTAAAAAGTTATTGTCTTCATAGTAGTTAAAAGTTACAGTTACAGTTTTTCCATTTAACAATGCAGTGATTTGATTTAGAGTTCAAAATTTGTTACTAGAATCATAAACATGCCTGGTATGTTGACTTTGTGGCTCCTATGGTAGCATTTGGGTTTATCATAATAGGATGCCAAGGTCTGTCTTTTTTTTCTTTGCCTGCCCACTTTAAATTCATTGATTCATCCAGCAAAAATCTGAGAACCAACAAATACCAAAGCCAGCTGTTACATACACCACAATGGAGGTACAAAAAAACAAGAATCAACTTCGTAAGCATGCACGGCCCGTAGCCTTTGGGGCGAGACTTGTGCTTTCAATGCTAGATGAAATACTAGTAAGTCCCTCAGATAGTAAGAAGAACCCCCCAAGCAAAATTCTGCAGCTGGCTACAGGCATGATATTAGGAATAATACATGATTCCATAACCTCTTAGTCTTGCTATTGTATTTCAACACAGTGCTGAAAAATAAACGTCATAATATTTACACTTGAAATGTGGAAACCAAAGCTTGGATTGTAAATGGTGCATTCAAGGTCTGCTTACACAAAGACATAATGCCCACGTACGAGCTGTCTTGCTACTTCCCCCTTCAACTGATATGTACACATGATATGTAAGCATGAGTGGCTTCAAACAAAGAACATTGCCTTAAACATACGGTCAACCAATACCATAGGTACAATGTTTACAGTAAATCCATACATATACGGTACATCATGATTTATGTACTCTATTGTAGTGTACAATATTATATTTTTAAGCTATTCTGTTGCGTGGATATTTAGATTTCCAAAAAATGGAATTGCACCTTAGCCAATAGCACATAACTCAAGTCTGCATGTCTACTAGAAATTAGAAATCTGTGCCTTATATAAAACATTATTAGGGCTACAGTTGAATCTTTTACACTAGTTGGAAAAATTCTGAGAAAGAAACAACGTTTTTCAAAACAAAGTTAAAGAAAGAATTCAGCTATTGTTACCTTACCTTAAGCCTGTTTGATAGTCTGGTAACAGCTGACAGCCAACAAAAATACTGCCCTATATATTTCCCCAGTGGACATTCCAGGCAAACAGGATATGCAAATGAGCAAGCTAGCCGCTACAACAGGTGGTCCAATAGCAGATATTTGGTCGGACCAAAACAACGCAAATACTTGTTACTCAGCATTGCAAAAAAAAATGGTTATTTACAAAGTTCTTGTTTATCTGCCTAACTAATGACTTAAAAAATTCTTGTGAAATCACAATTTTCTGTTTCAAGAAATCATAACTTTCTTCAGAAATATACAACTTTTTTTTCAAGAACAGTAATGTTACAGCAGTCACCTTAACTGCAAGGTTGTACTTACAAGTGTACTTAAATATATTCACTTTTGTCTACAAAACAAACATAACGTTACAGGTACAATATATACTAGTATTCTCTTATCCAGAATGTAATAAAAATGTCATAATCTGAAACATTGATAATCTTTAAGTACTGCATATTACGTCTCAATCAAGCAGTCACTATGATTCAGATCTTGTTTGTCCTTGATTTGGTACAACAGAGTTGAATTTATATTGAATGAAATAGTGAGTGAAAAGAAACAACTTCTTGCCGTGATTATGAATGGATATGAAATTGTTATAAACCCAAGATCATCAATTACTACTTGGGTGCCGGCATAAATTCTTTTGAAAAACGACTGTCACTAATTGTCATGCTGAGTCTCTGATGTTTGAATCCTAGCCGATTGACGTCATAACTGTCCTCTTGTTTGGGTCGGGCCAAAACTACTCAATTACTCGTTTCTCAGTCACATACAATAAAATCAATTTTGCTCACTGAGACTAGGCCATTTCTTCAATCTTCTTCTTTTTTTTTAGGAAAGATCAACCGTCTGACGTTTGAATCCTTAAGCTGATTGACGTCATAACTGTCCTCTTGTCTGGGTCGGGCCAAAATTACTGAAATACTCGTTTCTCAGTCACGTACAATAAAATCAATTGCTCAATGGGACTAGCCCATTTCTTCAATCTTCTTTTTTTTTTTTGGAAAAATCAACCCTCTGACGTTTGAATCCTGGCTGGTTGACGTCACAACTGTCCTCTTGTCTGGGTCGGGCCAAAATTACTGAAATACTCGTTTCTCAGTCACGTACAATAAAATCAATTTTGCTCACTTAGTCTAAGACTAGCCCATTTGTTCAATCTTCCTTTTTTTAGGAAAAATTATTCCAGTTTGAGTACAATTTATAAACCTGTTGTTCATCCTTTGTTCTTGACAATGAATAAGACATCACATCAGCTTCTGTCTTCTATTATAAACAGATATAAGTAGATATACCGCCTGCAATGGACCTATACCATTATTATGTCACAGTTTGTTTACCTGTTCTAAAGAACATTCTAGAACGGTCAGTTGCAAAGAATAAAGATCATTTCAAAGTTTTCAAAGTAAGGTATGTCTGATTTTTGCTGCATCTAGTTGTGTTAACATAGCATTACATGCCACATGGGTGATTTAGTTGTGACATTAGATGAAAGTAGTACTGTATTAAAAGCCTTATATTAGGCTAATGCTACACAAACACACACCGCGCTACGCACCCCTGTAAACGTCGATTAACCGGAATTCATTGCGGTAAACAAACTGTGACGTAATAATGGTATAGGTCCATTAAGTCCTAAACCAGGTCATGTAGATTCAGACATCTTTAGCAATTATTGTCTCCCTTCTGCAGACACTAACAAGAGTTCCCCGATCTCATACCTTCGCCAAATGATGTTAATCTTTATGACTAACAAATTATAGATTAGATTATTCCCCCCTGATTTAAGAAATAGGAACCTAATTTCATGAATTATATCATTTTATAATAATCTCAACCAAAAAACAGTCTTATATTAACAAACAATGCATTCTAGCATTTCCTAATAAATTATGCAAATGAGGTCCTGATTTGAATAAATTATGTTTAATGATGTTCACCTCAATTTAACTTTCAAATACCACAAGTATGAAATTCCAGGCAGTTATCATTACATAATTATGAAATTTTCTCATTAATTATGCAAATTAAGTCATTATTAACATAATCAATATCTTCCTGTGTTTCTCTCGTTGTCAATTACCAATGTCACAAGCTTTAATTGTCCTATTATTGAATGCAGCTGATTTATAGAATTTCTCCATAAATTATGCAAATTACATCAATATTTGCATAATTGTCACATAATTATATTAAGCATCACGTAAGCTACCTACATACCAAAAATCACGACGATCCGTCAACCGGTTCTTGAGTTATCCCCTCTTGAATATTTTCAAGAATATATCCCTGCAGTTCCAGAGCAAGCCGCTAGAGGGCCTAAACTCACGTCACTTCTTCCCCAGCACAAGAGCTACCTACCATCTAAATTTCATCACCATAGCATGTCTAGATCATGAGATATCAAAACCGGAAGTTCAACTGCAGTACCATAACAAGCCGCTAGGGGGTCCAAAATCTAATCATTTTGAGGTCTCATCAAGACCTACCCACCTACCAAGTATCAAGACAATCCATCAAGGCCTTCTTAAGTTATCGTGTTGACAGACACACACACACACACACACACACACACATACACGAACGCCCCTGAAAACATAACCTTCTTGGCGAAGGTAATTATTACGTAAGCAATTTAATGACAATGGTAAATTGTACCAAGGATATTTCTACAAGGTTTTTTTCAAGAGGTGTTTTCAACTGTGTATGGCTGAAAACAATAATTATGTGACCAGCAATAAATACGATGAAAAGAAGTGTAAGTGTTCTCATGCAAAAGCTAAAATATGATTGTGACTAATATCCCCATGGTCAAGAAATCTATTATATAAAAGAAGGTTTTAAGTTATACACATAAACTGTTATAAAGGATTCCTTGTAGATTACAAGGTAATAAATATCTGTTATAATTATATATTATAAGTCATAATATTACACAACAGTATACATACCCACATTTCACACCTGCATCTGGCTTCCAGTGACAGTCCTTGGTTTTCTTGGAATTTTTTTTATCTGCCAATCTAGTCAGTCGAATGAGACAGTATTACTAGTATTGTGCTTGAAATCAATGTTATATAATCATCATAATCATTACCTCAAGCTTGCTGGTGATATTTGCACTACAATAATTCATCCTTATAAGGCCACTGATCCTTTTCATCACACCTTTGCTAAAATCACTGTCCGCTCTATTTTGGGTTGGGTACAATTGCACCTATGATATACTTAGTATCCTTCAGCTAAGAGATAAAGTAGTGCCAGAAGAAAAAGAAAATCAACTTGGGAGTTTCCCCTTAAATACATTGAACAATCATTATCAGCATTATAAATCATAGAAGTGATGTTTGTTCCAGGGCATATAAATCCATAAATACTTGGGGAATTTGACTTTGGCTATTGGGTCTAACGGAAGGATACACTTTTGTACAGTGTACAGTGAAAGTGTGTCCCAGGAAATGGTGCTGTATATGGGTCAACGACCCCAGACGATTCCATTTATAGGGTGTCAAGGAAATATGATGCATGAAAATGTACCGATAAATAAATTTCAATATCCATTTCTCAAATCAATATATGCGTTTTTATAATAAAACCGTAAGCACATAATCATTGAGTAAAATTTGTTTGCTTTTTTTCTACGCCTTTCTTTTTACATAACCTCTCCCCATTTCGGAATGGCTTGTACTTCTGTGACGTCATTAAAGATGGCTGCCAAAGTTGGTACGATTTTTCTCAGACAACGCAAGATCGGTGATTTTCGAGGTCTACGCTGGCTTGATTTAGCGTACAATCAGGTAAACTGTCATACAAAATGTAGCGATTCTTCTGTGCGCTCAGAGCTACTCAGAACTTAACCTTTCTATTTGAAAATTGAAGTAAGACGAAGGGGGGGGGGGCAGTGGTTCGTGGTTTACGCAATCAAAAGTTGTCTTGTCGCAATCAAAACTTGTTGACCACAAATAATTTGAGAGGGTCTCTGATCCTACGTGTTCATGTATGTGTATACTACATAATTTGAATAACTCATTAATGTTACACCTAATAAATAAGCCATACCCTCAGGCTTGCATAATTATGTTTAAAACTACAAATTTATTTTCAATTATTTTTGCAGTAGCTGTAACGTTACATTTATAATTACAGCAAGTCTCCTTGAATAAATTATAATTTTGGCCACAGCTACATTTGTAGTAGAGTAAAAAGATAAAGAAAAAACAATAAGGCAAGTTAGGCAACACTGAATGTTGTGCTTATCACTGTTGTTATTCTCTCAGTTGTAATTTCTTTGTTTGGTTTGGATCATGATAATGATCATTCCGGCATACTCATTTTCACCTGAGTGAAGTAAGGAAAGTCGTTTTAAGTGCCTTTCCCAAGGGCACAAGGTCGGTTACTTGGCAGGATTCGAACCTGGGACCTCTTGGTCCTGATCCGAATGCTCTGCCATTACGCCAAACAACCCCATTTTTTTTTAAAACTGCTTGTTTGCTACAGACCCCGAGGCATGGCTGTGTGTGCTACTTGGCAGGATTCGAACCCAGGACTTCTAGGTTCTGAGCCGAATGCTCTGCCATTACGCCCCACACAACCCCAATTTATTTGAAACTGCTTGTTTGTTACAGACCCCGAGGCATGGCTGTGTGTGCTACAGCAGTCTCCCACAGGAGAAGAAAGACAAGATAACCCAGGGGCCAGGTCTGGGGGACTTCATCAGTGGTGATGTGGAGAAAACAGACACTTGGGACGATTACATGGGTAAACTCAAGCTAGAAAAGGGAGACAAGAGGTTTGTGAAATTATTATGAAAGTCCATCTGCGTTGGTAGTACATGTTATCATATTATTCATAATAAAATGTTGAACTTTATTCCAACACAAGGATTTACCAATGTTTGAAATGAAAATCAGTGAAGTCTTAGGATCCAAAGTTTGTGAAGATGTGTCATGTTGTGAAAGTGTTCCTCTGATCTCTGTTCATTCTTTTAAAAAATTTAAAGCAACTCAGCATCTTGAACTGTAGGTAGAATTCCATCAAATTCAAAACCTCCTCCCTTACATTACTATGCTGCGTGAGGCAATCATTGTCATGTAATGTTGGCCGATACTGAAGTTTTCGCTCTTCATTAGATTTGATTCATGTCCTGTAATATCTAGTCTATTGACTAATGTAAAATTTTGCCATTTTTCACAGATTGAGACTGCCTCCCTGGTTAAAGCGAGAAATCCCAATTGGTAAGAATTACCATAATCTCAAGGGAACACTGAGAGAGCTCAACCTTGCAACAGTAAGTATTGGGATAATTTATATTAAATTCAATGGTCTAAACTACTGTAAGTCCAGTTATGTTCACGAATGCTTTATTTCACGAGATGGAGCAATTTGGAAGTTCACGAGGTCTATGACTTCGCGAGTCGGTAATTTTTAACAAGGCGTTACATGTCTGCAAATTTACCGACAGTCAATAATTTTTTTTCCGCGTGAGGTACGTGTGAGGTACGCGCGGTTAGAACATGGTTCCGTGGACATGACACTGTCCAAACTGAAGCCCATCCATGCGAACTGGGTCCTGGGAGCATTGGACAGTATCGCCAACAACGTGGACATCGCCAGGGGATGGGATCGCACAGAGATCTGAGCCGCTGTGAGCCGACGGGCGCGTGAGTAAAAACAAAAGCCGCCGCCATGTTTGAACTTTCGGCTCGCAAATGTTGCCAACTTCTGCACAGTAGTCCTCGCGTAAATCATCTTTAGTTGTGAAATTTTAGCGCACTGTTCTATAAATTTGCTGTTTGGTAACGTTTAAAACCATGTTGATTCAACAAGTTGTAAAAAAAAAATAAAAAAAATCAAGCAAACTTAGACCATTAGACAACGCGCTATGTAAACAAAGGCCGCCATGTTGGATTTCTTGTAATTTGTCGATCGGCCCGGCGGTTACTCGGCGGTAGATTTTCGTGCAATTCTTCCCTATAATACCCTGTTAATGTTGTATATGTAGCGTAAATTTTCTTGGGATGTATGGAAATCTTGTGAAATGATTTTTTTGCGTGTAGCTTTGGTGAGTAACGTTGAACTCGTGTAGTTTGATCTCTCGAGGTATAGACAAAGAGGTACCGACAAAGACCCACGCTATCCCGCTTGGTTCTATTTTTTTTGCCGATTTTCCATACCGTAATAATTCTGCTTTACGTGGCTTGTACACGACAACAACTTTTTACCGATGTATGTTGTAAAATTCCGTATGTACGATGTTGCACATGTTTACAGCTGTTCACCGCTACGTTATCGCCGAACTAGCGTTCTTGTTAAAACTGATGTTGTCTAGTCGGCTTTGTAAACTTTTACCGTTCTTCGCAAGAAACACTTGTATTACCAGTAACAAAATAATGACTCCGTGAACCATATGCTCATTGAATAAAGTTTATTTGATTCTGAAAAGAAGTCTGCTGTTATTCGTTGAGTCTTGTCATTTACTACTACTACGTAATGTAGAAGTTGTTAGTATGGAGCTGAGACGCACGATGTTTGGGGGAGGGGGGGTGGTACGTACGGAATGGGTTCGCGAGGAGGTGAGTTCACGAGAAGAGCGTCTTCGTGAAAACCGTGAACTTAAAGATTTCGTAATCAAAAATGGACTTACAGTACTATATTATGTCATCTATTTCCTGTTTAAACTCTCCATAACTGTAATTCATTAAGTTAGCTTTATTACGTTTACCGAAGGAAAACATATTGTTTTTGCTCAGTTTCTTCCTCTTCCTCTTCTCCAAACAAATAAGGTTAATGACCTGAACCAGATGTCTGTCACCATGGTAACTGGTGTTGGGTTGCATCATGTTGCAATTTTATAGCAGGAGGGATTCAGACTCTTGTCTGATCATATATGACTGTGTTTGAGTAAGAATAACAGAGCAGACCATATGCAAAGGTAAACAATATGCATTTGCCTTGCAAATGTTACTTTTCTAGTTCTTTACCTCCTACAACTGAACAGAATGTATCTATTCTTCAAGATTGTGCTTATAAAAATGTTTCTGTAATTTTCAGGTGTGTGAGGAAGCAAAGTGCCCCAACATAGGAGAATGCTGGGGTGGGGGAGAAGACAAAACAGCCACTGCAACTATCATGGTCAGTTGTGAACTTGTGATTTAGTTAACCTTCAGCACTCTAACTTTCTACTACTCAATTCTAGTGTGGAGAACAATAATATTGTCATCCATTAGCACATATAGATAGAGTGCTAGACAAGCAGACTTCCCAGATGAAGATGACAAACGGTCATCGAAACGTCAGCTCTTGTTTAACAAGTGGTTGTGAAAAGAACTTTGCTATTCAATCTGAGTAGACTTATTGGCAAAATACTATTGAAGAATTGACTTAATGTTGTCATGTAAATAAGATTATGGGGTTTTCCAACTTGCAGGTAATGGGGGACACCTGCACAAGAGGCTGCAGGTTTTGTTCAGTGAAGACAGCAAGGCGTCCTCCCCCGCTGGATCCAAATGAGCCGGTTCACACGGCTGAGGCCATCTCCAGATGGGGGGTGGACTACATCGTCATAACCTCAGTGGACAGGGATGGTGGGGAAAGTTATCTTGTCTCTTAGTTAATCATAGATACAGTGTGTTTAAATTGTTATGTTTACTTTCACAGAAGGAAAACATATTGTTTTTGCTCTGTTTCTTCTTCCTCTTCTTTTTGTCCAAACAAGTATGGTCATTGACCTGAACCAGACGTATGCCACACTGGTTAACGAGTAGTGTTGGGTTACATCATGTTGCAATTTTATAGCAGGAGGGATTTTAGACTCCTGTCTAACCATATACATGTATATGAATGTGTTTGAGTAAGAATTAACAGAGCAGACCATATGTGAAGGTAAACATTATGCCTTTGCTTTGCAAATGCTACCATTCTAGTCATAGATAATGTGTTTGAACTGTTTCAATTTAAAAGTGTAGTTCTGTTTGAATAGAATATCCACTTTTGTCTTGTGTGTAGAAATTTCAAAAGTTGTAAAAAAAATTGGATTTATAATTTTTTTTTTTTTCATTTTGTGCAGATGTAGCCGATGGTGGATCAAGTCACTTTAGTCAGTGTGTGAAGGAGATAAAGAAAAGGTCTGCTGCTCTCTTTTGCATTGAAGTTACATGTAATATCAGTAAGAAAAAGAATGCAGTATCATTGATG